GGAAATAATAAAGATTGTAGCAGAAATAAATGATAGAGAAACAAACAAAAACATCCTAGTAGAATGGATTAATGAAACTAAGAGCTGAGTCTTCGAAAGAATTAATTGATAAACCCCCTAGCCAGACTTACTAAAAGAAAACAGAAAGGACCCAAATAGATAAAATCATGAATGAGAGAGGAGAGATCACAATCAACACCAACGAAATAACAACAATTATAAGAGAATACTATGAAAAATTATATGTCAACAAACTGGGAAACCTGGAAGAAATGGACAAATACCTGTAATCCTACAAAGTACCAAAACTAAAACAGGAAGAAATGGCAAATATGAACAGACCCATAACCAGCAAAGAAATTGAATCAGTAATCAAAAATCTCCCAATAAACAAAAGTCTAGGGCTGGATGGATACCCAGGGGAATTCTACCAGACTTTAAAGAAAAGGTAAAACCTGTTCCTCTCAAACTTCCAAAAAATAGAAATGGAAGGAAAACTTCCAAACTCATTCTACAAAGCCAGCATTACCTTCATACCAAAATCAAAGACCCCACTAAAAAGGAGAATTACAGGCCAATATCATGATGAACAGGAATGTTAACATTCTCAATAAAACACTAGCAAATCAGGGGTGCGTGGGTGGCTCAGTCAGTTAAGCATCTGCCTTCAGCTCAGGTCGTGATCCTGGGGATCCTGGGATCGAGCCCTGCGTTGGGTTCCCTGCTTGGTGGGGAGTCCGCTTCTCCCTCTGCCTCTGCCCCTTCCCTCACTCACGCTTGTGCGTGCTCTCTCTCTCTCTCAAATAAACAAACATCTTTTTAAAAAATGAATAAAAAATAAAATAAAATACTAGCAAATCAAATCTAACAGTACATTGAAAGAATTATTCAACACAATCAAGTGGGATTTCTTCCTGGGCTGCATGAGTGGTTCAACAACTGCAAATCAATGCAATACACCACATTAGTAAAAGAAAGGGTAAGAACCACATGGTCCTCCTCTCCATAGATGAAGAAAAAGCATTTGACAAAATACAGCATCCTTTCTTGATAAAAACCCTCAACAAAGCAGGGATGGAGGGAACATAAATCAACATAAAAAGGCCATAAATGAAAGACCCACAGCTAGTATCATCCTCAATGGGGAAAACTGAGAGCTCTTCCTCTGTAGTCAGGAACAAGACAGGGATGTCCATTCTCACCATTACTATTAAACATAGTACTGAAGTCCTAGCCTTAGCAATCAGAAAACAAAAAGAAAAAAAAGACATCCCAACTGGCAAGGAAGAAGTCAAAATCTCACTATTTGCAGACAACATAATATTCTGTAGAAAACCTGAAAGACTCCACCACTTTTTCTTTTTTTTTTTTTAAGATTTTATTTATTTATTTGAGAGAGAGAATGAGAGACAGAGAGCAGGAGAGGGAGGAGGGTCAGAGGGAGAAGCAGACTCCCTGCTGAGCAGGGAGCCCAATGTGGGACTCGATCCCGGGACTCCAGGATCATGACCCGAGCCGAAGGCAGTCACTTAACCAACTGAGCCACCCAGGCGCCCTGAAAGACTCCACCAAATAATTGCTAGAATCAATACATGAATTCAGCAAAGTTGCAGGATACAAAAGTGATGTGCAGAAATCTGTTGCATTTCTATACACCAGTAACAAAGCAGCAGAAAAAGAAATCAAGGAATTAATCCCATTTGCAACTGCACCAAAAACAATAATAAACCTAACCAAAGAGGTAAAAGATCTTACTCTGAAAACTATAAACTATAGGACACTCATGAAAGAAATTGAAGAGGACACAAATGTAAAACATTCTAAGCTCATGGACTGGAAGAACAAAGATTGTTAAAATGTCTCTACTACTCAAAGCAATCTACAAATTCATTGCAATCCCTATCAAAATACCACCAGCATGTTTCACAAAACTAGAACAAACAATCCTAAAATTTGTATGGAACCACAAAATTCCCTGAATAGCCAAAGCAATTCTGAAAAGAAAACAAACGAGGCACCACAATTCCAGATTTCAAGCTATATTGCAATGCTGTAGTCATCAAGACAGTATGGTACTGGCACAAAAACAGATACATAGATCAACAGAGAACCCAGAAATGGACCCACAACTCTATGGTCAACTAATCTCCCAAAAGAAGGAAAGAATATCCAATGGAAAAAAAGACAGTCTCTTCAACAAATGGTGTTGGGAAAACTGGACAGCTACATGCCGAAGAATGAAACTGGACCATTTTCTTACACCATACACAAAAAATAAATTCAAAAGTGGACAAAAGACCTAAATGTGAGATAGGAAACCATCAAGATTCTAGAGAACACAGGCAGAAACCTCTTTGACCTTGGCTGTAACAACTTCTTATTAAACACGCTGCCGGATGCAAGGCAAACAAAAGCAAAAATGAACTACTGGGACCTCACCAAGATAAAAAGCCTCTGCCCAGTGAAGGAAACAATCAACAAAACTAAAAGGCAGCCTACAGAATGGAAGAAGATATTTGCAAACAACATATTTGATAAATGCTTAGTATCCAATACCTATAAAGAACTTACCAAACTCAACACCCCAAACAAATAATCCAGTTAAGATCGGGCAGAAGACATGAATAGACATTTTTCCAAAGAAGATATCCAGATGGCTAAAAGACGCATGGAAATGTGCTAACATCACTCATCATCAGGGAAATACAAATCAAAACCATGATGAGATACCACCTCACACCTGAGAGAATGGTTAAAATTAACAACACAGGAGGGGCGCCTGGGTGGCTCAGATGGTTGAGCGTCTGCCTTCGGCTCAGATCATGATCTCAGGGTCCTGGGATCTAGCATGAGGCTCCCTGCTCAGTGGAGAGCCTGCTTCTCCCTCTCCTCCCTGCTCCTGCTCTCTCGCTATCTGTCTCTCTCTCAAATAAATAAAATCTTTTCTTAAAAAAATGTTCAAAAAACACAATACAGGAAACAACAGGTGTTGGCGAGCATGTGGAAAAAGGGGAACACTCTTGGACTGTTGGTGGGAATGTAAAATGGTGCAGCCATTCGGAGAACACGATGGAGGTTCCTCAAAAAGTTAAAAATAGAGCTACTCTATGATCCAGCAATTGCACTACTAGGTGTTTACCCAAAGGATACAAAGGATACAAAAATACAGATAAAAAGGGGTATATGCACCCCAATGTTTACATCAGCAATAACCAAGTAAGAGAACCCAAATGAAATCTTGCCATTTGTAACTATGTGGATGGAACTAGAGTATATTATGCTAAGTGAAATAAGTCAATCAAAGAAAGACAAATACCATATGATCTCACTCACTCATATATGGAATTTAGGAAAGAAAAGAGATGAACATATGGGAGGGGGGAGCAGAAAAAAGGAGAGAGGGAAACAAGCCATAAGTGAAACTTAACAAAAGAGAACAAACTGAGGGTTGATGGAGGGAGGTGGGTGGGCGGTGGGCTAGATGGGTGATGGGTATTAAAGAGGGCACTTGTGATGAGCACTGGCTGTTGGATGTAAGTGATGAATCACAGAATTCTACTCCAGAAGCCATTACTGCACTGTATGTTAACTAACAAAATTTAAATTAAAAAACAAAACAAAAATCCCTACCATATGGTCCACCATTGCCATTTCCAGGTATGTATCCCAAGGAAACAAAATCAGTATCTCCACACACATATCCACTGAGGTATTATTCACAATAGCAAATATATGGAAACATCAGTAAGTGTGCCTGAGTGTTTAAAGGGAAAAAGAACATTCAGTACACACACAAATGCAGGAATATTCAGCAATAAAAAAGAAAACAACATTGCCACTTGCACGACATGGATGAACCTAGAAAATACTATGCTAAGTCAAATAAACCACACAGAAAAGGCAAATAGTGAATGGTATCATATATATGGATATTCTTGAAACAAACAAACAAAAACATCAGAAACAGAAAGTAGAATGCCAGAAGCTAAGGACTGGAGGAAACGGAAAGGTGGTCAGGGGTACACAGTTTCACTTAACAAGATAAGTAAATTCTGAGGATCTAATGTACAGCATGTTGAGTACAGTTGTTACTACTGTATTGTACACTTGAAATTTGGTAAGAGAGTAGATACTAAGCTTTCTCACAACCACCAAGAAAAAGGTAATTATATCAAGTGGTGGGTGTGTTGTTTACCTTTATTTAGGTAATAATTTCATACTGTGTATCAAGTCATCATGTAATATACTTTCAATAATATAATTTTAGGGGCGCCTGGGTGGCTCAGTCGGTTAAGCGTCTGCCTTCGGCTCAGGTCATGATCCCAGGGTCCTGGGATCGAGCCCCACATCGGGCTCCCTGCTCAGTGGAGAGCCTGCTTCTCCCTCTCTCTCTGCTTACTTGTGCTTTCTCTCTCTGTCAAATAAATAAATAAAATCTTAAAAAATAATAATAATAATAATATAATTTTATTTGTCAATCATACCTCAACAAAGCTGAAGGAAGGGGGGCAGGTGGAAGAAGAGATGTAAATACTACCAAAAGAACCATACAGGAAGGTCTTGAGAAGTAGCCCATAGTATACCTACATGGTGGCCATGCCAATGCCTGCAATTTCAGGCACAGGCAGGCACAAGGAAATGGCACCTAAGTAGGAAGGGTGCAAAACCCGGGACACAGAAATGGCACGGATCTGAACACATGGACCCAGCCAGGGAGAGGGCAAGCAGGGTGTGATCCATCAGCCTCACTGCATGACTACTGACCTCTAATCTTACCCGATCAGGGCTCAGCACAGAGGGTACTGGGAGCTGCAGGGCAGAGAAAAGGGCACACCAACAACTCAGAGCTAGCAACAAAAGCAACTAACCAGAAAGCTGGGGAAGCAAGCAGTGCCCACAGTCCACACGAGAGAAGGACTAACCATCCCCTGGAAAATGCAGAGGGGGGACTCGGGAGCACAGAGTCTAGTCCAGGTCAAAGGGGAGGCTGAGGGCCTTACCCAGTGAGGATATAAGTGTAAAGTTCTCCAGCATCACATGGTGGTAGAGCCGTCTCTGAGCCTCATCAAGAAGCCTCCACTCCTTCCAGGAGAAGTACACGGCAATGTCCTCAAAGGTCACACCACCCTTTCATGAAAAGAACAGAGGAAACCATGAACATTCTCTCTCTGAGAACACATAATCCAATCCCCCAAACATCCACCCCAGTCTCCCCACCTCAGAATAAATACCAGGTCCTGGTGCCTCTAATGCTGCTCTCCTCTCACCTTCCCATCAATCACTGTGTTCAGTCCTCAGCAGTAACAGGCAGGGGGACACATGGATGCACTCTAAGCTCTGGGTTTGGCCTGCAAGGTCCCATCCCTCTGCCCCGACATTCCCATGGAGTCTCCCATGCTGTGCCCTCAAGACAGCCAATTATAGGCCCTGCTCTACCAGGAAGTCTTCAATACCAGGGCGCTGAGGCCTTTAGCTCACACTTCCCCTCCATGTGTACAGGATTCTGTAGACTATACCACTCTCACGTCTTCAGGCCCCACAGATGAACTCCCACACCTTCCTGCCCCACACCAAAGGATCCTCCCTTGATTCACACTTGTATTTGTCACATGATATCCAAAGGATGTTTGACAAACTTAAACAGGTTCCAGTCCCACCCCAGGACTCTCAGAGATCCCAAATGAGGGAAAGCCTCAAATGCTGCTGAGAAGCCCTCCTCACCTGCCTGTAATCTTCCCTTCAATAACAGACACTCACAACCACATGTCAGCTTAGGATACTCATAGACCTTCTTCTACTTCTCTGCTGCCCATTCTGTCCCTCCACAATAGGGAACCAACCATCCTCTACTGAACCTTTGTGAAAACCCCAGCCCTAAGGGTCTCCCTGCCAGGCAGAGCAAAGCAGAAATGACTGCATTTGTCCAGACCTTAACTACCAGCAAGACTCTGAAACACCCCAGGCACTGTAAAAACTCATCACAAAATTCTGTGAAGCTCTAGACCACTGAATAAAGAGCAGCCCCAACTTCACTGTCATCTTGGCAAAATTACTCCTAGGTGTCCTAGCCATCTCTTGTCCCATCATCCCATGGAAGGCTTGCCTGTGTTTCTGCCAGATCATTCTCTCTCCTTCACCTGTGTTCACAATGCCCAGCAACCCCAAGCACATGCTGAGGAAGAAAACCACTCTTCTGCAGACTTTACTAGGACCCTCTGACCTACTAGCAGTATTACCATGATACTCTGCATTCCCTTCCTAAATGTGATCCAAATCTCCACCCGGGCCACACAGCAGCCATCACTTTTCAAACCCTCCATCATGACACTTTCCCCCAGTTTCCCAAAATTTCCTGTCCAGCTGCCCACTTGATACCATCAATCACACTTCTCTGAAACATCAGAGATCGTAAACAACGTCAAAAACCCTGGGTATCCCCAAGGACAGTTCACCTACTGCTGACTTCATCAGGTTGATGGAAGCTTCCATCTCTTCCGCTACTAGGACCTGCGTATATTAACAGTGGGAAACCTCACTAAAATGGTATCAGGAGGTTGCAGGCTTGAGGGGGCGGGGAGCTCTCAGGCACTACTCCTTGTTGGACTGCAAACCTAACAGCAAAAGAGGGACTTGACCTTATTTATATGGGATACTACTTCATTACCCCAGACCCAAAAAGAGTCTGTCCTGGCCGCCCCACCCAACAGCTCAGCCAATGAGAAGCCGCAACTCCCACTTTCACTCCAGTGTACCTGCAGTTTGTAACAGCCTTCCCAACTTCGCCTCCTTCCCCTTAAGAAAGACTACCTCCCGGGACGCCTGGGTGGCTCAGTCGGTTAAGCGTCTGCCTTCAGCTCAGGTCATGATCCCAGGGTCCTGGGATCGAGCCCCGCATCGGGCTCCGTGCTCCGCGGGAGCCTGCTTCTCCCTCTGCCCCTCTCTCTCTCTCTCTCATGAATAAATAAATAAAATCTTTAAAAAAATAAAAGAAAGACCACCCCTCTTGCCCTCCGCGCCGACCTACTGCTTGGACTCCGCTTCTCCGTTCCAAACTGCACTTCTCTTCCGTCTCCACAGAAACCCGTTCGTGCGGGTAAAATAACTGTCCGCTCTTGCTTCGTTCTTAGGGTCACGGACCCGAAGCCCCGGGGCCTCCCTCGCTCCCCCTTCTCTCCTCACCTGCAACACCCACCCTTTGCCGTAGCCCTTCTCAGAACGTACCCCAGGAGTCCACCAGTCCTCCGACATCCGAGGCGGGCCGAGCAGCAGTCCGCGGACAGTGCCACCGACTCCTGCCATTGCCTCCTCGCTTAGCCCCGCGGCGGGCTCTCCCCTCTGGCGGCCGGAGAACGCCTATTCACACCCGGCCGAGCCCACCTCACGCCCGCCAGGAGAGACGGGCTTCTCGGGCAGCGAGGGGACGGGCCTCACGGCCGCGCGGCACTGCGCTCCCGACAGGAAGGACGGCGAGCTGCTGTTGCCCGCCGCTGGCGCGGCCCCCTCCCGCCTCGGCCCCGGCCGCCCTCGGCCCGGAGCCCGCTCCCGCACGGGGCCCCCGCCCGCCGCCGCCCGCCTGTCCCGGACGCCGGGGCCTGGGCCGCGGGGGTCTGGGTGCGGGGACGACGCTTACCGGAGCCGGGCCCCTGCGCGCGGCCGCCGCCATCGGACTCGCTGGGCCGAGCGAGGCCGGAGGTGGGCGGACACCCGGACTCGACCGCGTGCGGCGAGGACAGCGCCTCCCCTCGCGTCTTCACGGCCGGTCACCGGAGCCTGACGCGCGCTCCGGCAGCTTACGGGACAAACAGACCCAACCTGAGGCAGAGAGACCTCCTGGCGGATGAGACCGGAAGTCCCGCCCCCGGGGCTTGCGCTCGCCTGGAAACGCCGTGTGCTGTTCCCTCATTGGCTGCTCGCCGCGTCCGCGGGCCGGGCTCTTCCGGGTGGGGCGGCTCCCGGAGCTCTGGCGGTCTCCGGCAGGGGGTGCCCCCCCCTGGAGTTGCCGAGCTGTGGTCACGTGGCGCCCTGAGGGACGCGGGAAAGCGCTGCTCCTCGCCGGGGGGACGGGATTTGCTCCTCGTTAAAGGCAGAGAAGAGCTATGCTTTCAGACTCCGTGAATGTCAGTCAGCTTCCAGAGAAAACTACTATTTTAGATGCTCCCATATTCCTTTGCTGAGGTAAATGACAAATCATCCCTTGAAGTACTTCAGAAATAAAAGAGTCTGTGCGGAGGTGGAAAGATGTTGCTGCTCCTCAAATGTTTGCGCCCTGAGGTGTTACAGTCAGTTTCATAAGTTTCAGTAGGATTAGTGGGAACAATAGATTAGTTCCTGTCACGCAACAAAAATTCAACCCATCCCGTTGTAAAGGTTTGCTGGCTTTATTCATTGATTTGTGAATTGGGCAGCATCCATCTAGCAAGTAGAGCACAGCTCCAAAGCTCTACAGAAAGGGAAAGGTTTTTAAAGATAGGACAAGTATGGGGCGGCTGGGTGGCTCAGTCGTTAAGCGTCTGCCTTGGCTCAGGTCATGATCCCGGGGTCCTGGGATCGAGCCCCGCGTCGAGCTCTCCACTCGGCAGGAGGCCTGCTTCTCCCTCCCCTACTCCCCCTGCTTGTGTTCCCTCTCTCGCTGTGCCTTTCTCTGTCAAATAAATTAAAAAAAATTTTTTTTGATGGCATCGCTTTTTAATTGAAGGACAAATATTGTTCACATTCAGAGATAAGCGGGCCTCATGCAGATAGTTAAAACCATCCTTCTCTTTCTTGGTTAACCATCTCCTAATTTCAAGTAACATCCACGAGTTCTTTAGGACCATCTGAAATTGTCCTCTGAGGAACTCCGCCACACCACCTCGTAACACACATGACCACACGCACCGCTGGACGGCGTCTCACTGGATATCATCATCATCAAACAGATCTTCAAAATCATTAAAAAAGTCTGCATGAACTGCTTTCTCGTTGGCTGCCAAGTCCATCAGGAGCCCCGTGCTGCCTCCTGTCTCGTCCAGGTCCACGTAGGGCCCGGCGCCCTCAGGGAACATCTCGTCTACTGCCGGCTTCATCTCGCCTGCGGGGCCTCCCCCAAATAAATAAAATCTGAAGGAAGGAAGGAAGGAAGGAAGGAAGGACGGAGGGAGGGAGGAAAGAAGGAAAGAAAAGAAAGGAAGGAAGGAAGGAAGGAAGGAAGGAAGGAAGAAAGAAAGAAAGAAAGAAAGGAGAAAGAAAGAAAGAAAGAAAGAAAGAGAAAGAAAGAAAGAGAGAGAGAGAAAGAAAGAAAGAAAGAAGAAGAAAGAAAGAAAGAAAGAAAGAAAGAAAGAAAGAAAGAAAGAAAGAAAGAAAGAAAGAAAGAAAGGAAGAAAGAAAGAAAGAAAGAAACCTTTGCTCTGGGGTGGGGGGCACCTGTGATGTGGTTTTGGAATATAGGTGAGGTTTGGTGGGGTGGGGTCCGGGGCCAATGGCCAAGAAAGAATTCTTTTTTTTAATAAAGATTTTATTTATTTATTTGACAGAGAGAGATAGTGAGAGAGGGAACACAAGCAGGGAGCCCGATGCGGGGCTCGATCCCAGGACCCTGGGATCATGACCTGAGCCGAAGGCAGACGCTTAACCGACTGAGCCACCCAGGCACCCCCAAGAAAGAATTCTTGAGGCGTCTTTGGTGCAAAAAGGTGGATAGGACCTGTGGGCAGAAAGAACTGCTGCACAAAGGTTGTGAGGAGTGACTGATTATACACTTGGGAGTTGGGGAAAGTAAGGAAAAGGCAGACGCTTAATGACTGAGCCACCCAGGAGCCCCTAGTTTTTTGGGTTTTTTTTTTTTTTTTTTTAAGATTTTATCTACTTATTTGAGAGAGAGCACAAGTGGGGAGGTGGGAAGGACAGAGGGAGAGGAAGGAGCAGACTCCCTGCTGAGCAGGGAGCCTGACATGGGGCTCAATCCCCGGACCCCAAGATCATAACCTGAGTCGAAGGTAGGCACTTAACTGACTGAGCCACCCAGGTGCCCCAATTTTTGAGTTTTAAAAGTCACCAGACTTGGCTGGGATAGAGCCCAAAGTGCACTGCTCCTGGTAGGCAAACTGGAGACAAACAGTAAAAAGAGCTATCTGAAAAACACCTGGGATGCACAGGGGATTATTCACTCTTCTGGGAGGGCTTCCCTGAGAGCAGCAAGCAAGGAAACACCTCTCCTGGGACAAAGGAGTTGGCTGGCGCCATTTCCCTACCCCTCTCATCAGGATAAACCAGCTTCAGTAAACAGCACAGTGCCAACACCAGAGGCCTAACCTGCATACACCTGCATACAACACCCACCTGCACTCTGCCAGTACTGCCCTTCTAGGGCAAGTGGCTTAAGTCCCAGTGCAGCGGTCCCCTTCCCCAGAAAACCAGCAGAAAGCCCTGTACACACCACATCCCCTGACCAGAGAGTTTTACAAGGCTTCAGTTCTAGTGGAAGTAGCATCAGGTCTCATTTAACAAGCAGGCCAGAGCACACCTAGTGAAAACTTACCACATGCCCACTGCAGGCACGGAGAGCCTCTACAGATGACTGGCCTGAAGGATAGAAGAGTCAAAATACAGCATCAGAGTGCATGCAGCACCAGAGACACTCCCTGAAGGACCAGGCCGTGGACACTATATGACCTCTTTTTCATAAAGCCATTACTCTCAGGATCAGGGAACATAACAGGCTTTTCTAATACACAGAAGAAGACAGAGACCTAAACAAAATGCCAAGAGGAAGTAATTCTTCCCAAAAGAAAGAACAAGATAAGGCCACGGCCAGAGATCTAAGTGAAACAAATATAAGGAATATGCCTGATGGAGAATTAAAAACAACAATCATGAGGATACTCACTGGGCTTGAGAAAAGAATGGAAGACTTCAGGGAGGCCCTTACCACAGAAATAAGAGTTAAAAAAAACAGGGTTGCCTGAGTGGCTCAGTTGTTAAGCATCTGCCTTCAGCTCAGGTCATGATTCCAGGGTCCTGGGATCAAGCCCACATCGGGCTCCCTGCTCCGCGGGGAGCCAGCTTCTCCCTCTCCCACTCTCCCTGCTTGTGTTCCCTCTCTCGCTGTGTCTCTCTCTGTCAAATAAATAAATAATATCTTTAAATAAATAAATAAATAAATAAAAATAAAAGAGAACTGCTGTCTTACAGGAAAACTTCTCCATTTGCAGTAACTCAATTCACAAAAATAAGTACCTTATTGAATAAACTCCCATACAAATATAGATGTTTCTGACGTTCCCGTGGTATTAACAAAGGCACAAGGGGCACCTGGTGGCTCAGTCGGTTAAACATCCATCTCTTGATTTCTGCTCAGGTCATGATCTCACAGTTGAGATCAAGCCCCATGTAGGGCTTTGTCCTGGGCATGGAGGCTGCTTAGGATTCTCTCTCTCCTTCTCCCTCCTCCCCTCCCCTTCCACTTAAGCACTCTTCTCTCTCAAGAAATTAAAAATAACAATTTAAAAATAAAAGTATAGCAAATTTTAAATAAGTAAATCCATTTGATGAAAATAATTGCATTGTAACATATAAAATATCACTACCAATATTTTTATTGGTAAAAACAAGAACAGAAGAACCCATATTTACTATTTTATACCTAGAATAAGTTTATAGGCACTTATATTTGATAAAAGTAAATGATGAATTTATTGGAAGAAATAATTTATTTAAAATAAATTACTAAATATTAAAATATTGGGAAAAATAAAATATTGGAGATTTAGTTAAAAACTCATAGCAAACATTTCTAGCTTTAATCTTAGAGAAAAATAAGTACTAGCTCTAAACATAAAGAATAGCAAATCTGTTAGATAAAAATATTGCAGTATGTTTTCAAAGTTTTATGAGTAAAATATTACTAAACATGAACCAAACTAGATGGAACAAAACAGTTTTGGTGTTTTGGTTTTTTTTTTTTTGGAACAAAACAGGTTTTTTTTTAATATTTGCATCCATTGAAATTAAAAAGCAATGGAAAATGAAAGATACATAAAATAAAAAATAAAAGGTAAAGAAAATATTTAAATATATAGAATGTAAAATAAGAATGGTAATCTTAACATGTTCTTGGCAGTGTTTCTGAATAGGAAATTCCTAGAGGAAAGAGATAATAAATTATGAAATGTTTTTCTCACAAACATTAGAAAAATGCATAACACTGGAAATGTCATTGAATTTCTCAAGATACACTTAGTCTTTTGTTGAAATATTATTTTATGTCCATTTCCCCTTACACAAAATTTACATGATCTTTTATAAAAATAATATTCAAGCATGACTTGTAATTTGGAGTTTGTTAGTGTGGCCTGCAATTGTAAAGACATGTGTGGAAAAACCATCCAGAATGCCAAATATGTAAAATGTTATATCTTTTCTACTATTGTTTAATGAGCCACATTTTACACAGTAGGATTTTTGAGAACTTTCTTCTCCCATATTTTCCAGAGTGATGGTTCAGTTCAGGGTTAATTAAGTCAGTAATTCCTTCTTTCATTTTGCAATTGAGTAAACGAAATGAAATAAAGAGTAATTAACATTAAAATATTGAAGAGATGCCTCACTGTCGACAAACTACTGGACTGTTGATAACCCAATTGTGGGGATATGGGGGAATCATGTCCCACTATCATTTATCACTGACTTTCTATGGTCACTGACTGGTGGTAAATTCCACCAAGGGAATGGGGAGGAGAAAGTAACTCAAGAGGAAGTCTGATCAGAGTTGAGTTAAGAAACCTTAGTGATTACTTAAAAATGAATGAAGGATACTCACTAATTGTTCTGGTATCAATTTCAATGTGGGCAGGAATTTTTCCACACATCCAAGCAAGCGATTCTCTGGACACCAGCTCGGTGTCTTAGAATTCAACTCAATTCTGGGGGCACCTGGGTGGCTCAGTCGTTAGGCGTCTGCCTTCGGCCCAGGTCATGATCTCAGGGTCCTGGGATCCAGCCCCGCATCGGGCTCCCTGCTCGGCAGGAAGCCTGCTTCTCCCTCTCCCACTCCCCCTGCTTGTGTTCCCTCTCTTGCTCTCTCTCTCTGTCAAATAAATCAATAAAATATTTTAAAAAAAAAATAATTCAATTCAATTCTGGCTCCATCCACCTGGAGATAGCGTCAGATTCCACAAGTTAAGGGTCCAGTCCCATAATACTGCCCCACCCCCACCAAATTAAGACATCACCTTCAAGTTCAGATTCTCACCTGTACTTCAGACCAACTGGCTATAGATCAGAGTTTCTCAGGATCAGTTTGGGTTCAGTTAATTTGCTAGAATAGCTCACAAATGAATGATGAAACATCTTTCTTATAAATCACAATATCACGCTCCTCCATTGTAAATCATGTTCTTTCCAGTTGGGAAGCTGGATGTGAATAGGTGAGAAGTGTGTCAGAGTGAATATGCACCTAAAATTTGTACATTATAAATTTGTCAAAAAATTTCACAAGGAAATTTATAACTTTTTTTTTTAAAGATTTTATTTATTTATTTGAGAAAGAGAATGAGATAGAGAGAGAGCATGAGAGGGGGAAGGGTCAGAGGGAGAAGCAGACTCCCCGCTGAGCAGGGAGCCCGATGCGGGACTCGATCCCGGGACTCCAGGATCATGACCTGAGCCGAAGGCAGTCGCTTAACCCACTGAGCCACCCAGGCGCCCCAAGGAAATTTATAATTTTTAAGAACACAACTTAATCATAAGACACAACCCAATAAAGTGAGAGGAATACACTTTGAACAAACACTTCAAAGTGTAATATACATGTGTTTCATGTTGGTTTCAAGGACTGCCCAAATTGCTTTATAAACCCAGTGCAGTCTGGGGCACCTGGGTGGCTCAGTCAATATGCATCTGCCTTTGGCTTGGGTTGTGATCTCAGGGTCCTGGGATCAAGCCCCGTGTCGGGTTCCCTGCTCAGCGGGGAGCCTGTTTCTCCCTCTCCCACTTCCCCTGCTTGTGTTTCCTCTCTCCCTGTCTCTCTGTCAAAAAAATAATAAATAAAATCTTAAAAAAAAAATTCAGTGCAATCCAAAATCCAGCAAGTTGTGTGTGAGTGCACATGCACATGTGTGAGAAAGAGAAGAAAATTGACAAACTGACTTTAAATTATAGGGACATCAAAAGGCCAAAAACTGTCAAGACAGTTTGAAAGAAAAAATTAGTAGGCTTTACCCAACCAGACCACACCATTTCATTAAAAGACTACACAAATTGAGACAGTTTGATTGTGGCACAGATAGACAAATACAGAAATAGAATAAAATAATATCCCTATACTGCCATTTGACTTGTGAAAAAGATTATACTGAAGTGCAGTAGGTTTGGAATTCTTTTTCAATAATTGGTGCTGGGACAAGGAAATATCCATATGGGAACGAATGACTCCTATCTTCCCTTATTTGGGACTGTAAAATGGAAGCATGTAAATTTGCTTCAAACAATATAGATTGCACATGCCAAATGAGTAACAGTAAGAGTGCCTGAGTCCACACAGGTGTTAATAGAAATAGCTGGTGGACACAGAGATTATCAGTTTAATGACATGGTAGAAGCTGGAATGCTGATAGCATACATTAGCTCTATGATTCTGTGATAGCCTTATATGGAAGCCAGGTTGGGGCCCACCTATGGCAAAAGCCTCTGAATGCCACCCAGGGGCAACTGCTAGGATGTTGGAACAGAAAAATTCCATTTGAGATACAATTACTAACTGGCCGTTGGGATTTGAAACTGCTCATAAGACTGAAAATCATAAAGTAATTCTGACACCTGAAATACCCATAATGATTCAGGTGATGTTAGAGAAACACTCTAATAAGGAAGGCAGTGCCCAGAAGTGTTCCCTAATAAAATGGAAATGATTTGTGCAGGAATATGCTACCAGGGGAATCCAAGGAGGTACTCTTTGTATTCACAAGCAGGTAGCCTCTTTTCCCCTAGGGCCAAGTTTGGAAACAGGTGTGGAGCTCCTGGATCCTATGATCACATGACCATGTGGGTGGTAACTTGGCCCACAGGTATCAGCTCTACTTCCAGAGGAACTAGAGACTAAGGTCAGCAACAAGGGCAGACTTGTCTGCAGTACCAACCCTCAGTGAAAATTCTGGACACCAAAGCTTGAGTGAGCTTCCCTGGTTGGCAATACTCCATGTGTATTATACATAGTTGCTGAGGAAAATCAGTGCCATCCACCTGACTCCACTGGAGGACAACTGGAAGGTCAGTGCCTGGTTTCTCCTAGACCCTGCCCTATGGGCCTTCTTCTATTGCTGGTTTTAATCTTTTGCTGTAATACATTGTAACCATAAATATAATGGCATTGCTGAGTTCTGTGCATTCTTCTATTGCACAGAAATATTGAACCTAAGGGTAGTTTTGGAGACGTCTTGAACTGTATCATGTATTTTGCTTCATTTTGTAGTTTTGGAGTGCAGGAAGGAAACCTGGACCTTTTATGAATCACTGCCTGAGAAAGAAATTGGGCTCTGATTCTTAATATATTCAATGGTTTATAATTAACTACTATCAATATTTATTTTGATGCTGGGGAGCCCGGGTGGCTCAGTCATTAAGTGTTTGCCTTCGGCTCAGGTCATGATCTCAGGGTCCTGGGATCGAGCCCCGCATCGGGCTCCCTGCTCAGCGGGGCGCCTGCTTCTCCCTCCCACTCCCCCTGCTTGTGTTCCCTCTCTCGCTGTGTCTCTGTCAAATAGATAAATAAAATCTTTAAAAAGAATTTATTTTGATGCTAAATTTGTCCCAGATCTGGGTGATGGGAACACCTTAAAGCTACAGCCTCTGTGTGTGTGTGTGTGTGTATGTGTGTGAATATTATTCTTTGAGCATTTCTTTGTTTCCAAATGCAAGAATATTTTCAGGCACATGTTGCACCTTTTCTGTCCCAGATTGGAATCAGCTTCTCCAAGGAGTTCTGGTTCATCTCATCAGAAAATGGTATTTGTAAATAAACAATTGAGCACTAGTTGTGCTCTCTTAGACTTCTAAGTCATTGACTGTCAGAGTTGGGGGGCTAGGATACGCACACATGTATACATTTCTATATACATTGATTTCTTTAACTATGATTATACCTATAGAGATATCACACCTATCTTTGGAATTGTGAGGCGCTGAGAGCACTCTCCCTTAGGGCTTTCATTTAAATGCAGGGTATAGGGGCACCTGGGTGGCTCAGATGGTTAAGCGTCTGCCTTCAGCTCAGGTCATGATCCCAGGGTCCTGGGATCGAGTCCCACATCAGGCTCCCTGATCCTTGGGAGCCTGCTTCTCCCTCTGCCTCTCTCTCTCTGTCTCTCATGAATAAATAAATAAAATCTTTAAAAAAAATAAAATAAAATAAATGCAGAGTATAGGATACAGCTAGACAAAGAACAGTCCAGCACTGAGGCTTAAAGACACAACTGCACAGAAGACCCTCAGGATCCTTATTCACAACTGGACATGCTTCATGTCTGGATTGAACCACTAAGATCTGTGTGATGATGGAACTTGACTTTAGGAGAGCTGAAGGCATAAGTTCCCAGCAGGAACTTTAAGGCCCCTCTGATTCCAAGACCTGAGCCAAGTGAAAGTCATCAGGAAAGAAACCAACCTTGGGAGACCTTAAGACATTAAGGAGCACGTTGTATTCCCACTGCTTTTATCTTGGCGAAGAATCAAACTAGATATCCAGATGTCCCCAGAGATAATTATAAAACAATGTCTATCCTCCATAGTATCCTCCTGTTGGTTAAGTGTTTTTAATTATAAATCACACATTCTTTTTTTTTTAAAGATTTTTATTTATTTATTTTACAGAGAGAGAGAGAGAGAGCACAAGCAGGCAGAGTGGCAGACAGAGGGAGAGGGAGAAGCAGGCTCTCCACCGAGCAGGGAGCCTGACGCAGGGCTCGATCCCCAGGACCCTGGGATCGTGACCTGAGCCGAAGGCAGACGCTTAACCAACTGAGCCACCCAGGTGCCCCTTAAATCACACATTCTTAATCCTTTGCCTGCATCACTGCAAAAAGATAGCTGCCAAAATATTAAGTATGTGTGCATCATATGAGGTGTGGCTATTGTTTTTTTTTTTTTTTTAAGATTTTATTTATTTGAGAGGGACAGACAGAGACAGTGACAGAGACAGCAAGAGAGGGGAGGAGAATGAGAAACAGACTCCCCACTGAGTAGGGAGCAGGGGCTCGATCCCAGGACCCTGGGATCGTGACCTCATCTGAAGGCAGACACTTAACCAACTGAGCCACCCAGGCACCCCAGGTGTGGCTATTGGTTTAAAGAAAATTTCAAAAACAAATTATTCCAGCAACAAAGGTGTTTGTAATCATGTAAAGATTGGTAACCATCTTACCTCTCCACCACCAAGATCTGAACTTTAAGAAAGGTATCAGTATAAAAATAGAATTACCGTATGATCCAGTAATTCCACCAGTGGGTATTTACCCAGAGAAGAGGAAAACCCAAATTCAAAAAGATATATGCACTCTATGTTTATTGCAGCATTATTTACAATAGCCAAATTATGGAAGCAACATCTGTCCATCGATAGATGAATGCATAAAGAAGATGCATTCTTATATATATATACACAATGAAGTATTATTCAGCCATAAAAAGAATGAAATCTTGCCATTTGCAACAACATAGATGGACCTAGAGGGTGTTAAGCTAAGCGAAATAAGTCAGTCACAGAAAGACAAATACCATTTGACTTTACTCATATGTGGAATTTAAGAAGCAAAACAAAGAAAAATGAGACAGATGAAAAAACAGACTCTTAAATATAGTGAACACACTGATGGTTACCAGAGGGGAGGTGGGGGGGATGGGTGAAAAAGGTGAGGGGCATTAAGAGTACACTTATGATGAACACTGAGTCATGTACAGAATTGTTCACTATATTATACACCTAAAACTAACAGAACACTGTACATTAGTTACACTGGAATTTCAATTTTTTTGTTATCAGGAAATTCATTAAATTTGAAATTATGTTATTTTTAACTAATTCTAGTTCCCCTTCTGGCCAAACAAATTCCACTGAGAGAGCATCCTGTAGAAGTTTTAATTCAGTTTCCCAACATGCTTTATAATCTGTATCAGTGTTACCACAGGTTTCGTTAGAATCCATTAAATTAATCTTACCGGCTATACCAGTATCCCACCAAGGAACAGTTATATTATGGATTAGACAACGATCATTACAAAATATGTCAGATTTAGAGTAGTATTTTCTTGGCCTTCCCCTCCAAAAGTGGCTTTGCGCATACACTAGATACCATCATGGAATGGAGTTTAAAGCAAGGGCCAAGTGTCAGCCAGATTTTTGACATCTTCTTTTGAGGACACAGTATCTGCATACTGGGGTCTACTTCTAATGAACACTTTGGCTTCCTAATATAAAAGAAGGCATTAGCCAAATCCAGAACAAAACACTGATGTCTCTGAGCATGCAGCATAACTTTAATTGTAGATAGCATATTGGATACAGCTGATGATTTGGGGCCCAGGGTGGGGGCTACAACTATCAAGTCCTCCAAAATCTACAGTTAACCTCTCCTTTCCATCAGCTTTCCTTACACACCATGAGACCTTTAAATGGGAATTTGTAAATACTAACACAGCTGCATCTAAAAGATCCTGGGGGTGCCTGGCTAGCTCAGTTGGAAGAGCACGCAACTCTTGATCTCGGGGTAGTGAGTTCGAGCCCCCATGCTGGGTGTAGAGATTACTTAAAAAAATAAAAGCTTAAACAATTTTTTTAAATTAAAAAAAATCGAAGATCCTTAACTAGGGGCACGTGGCTGGCTCAGTCAGTAGAGAATGTGACTCTTGATCTTTGGGGTCCTGAGTTCAAGCCCCACGTTGGGCGTAGAGCTTACTTCAAAAAAAAAGACTAAGTAGATTTATATAACACCATATCCATTCCAATAATGCACTATGGTTAGGGGGAGGCAACAACCATACATGGTTTCTGTCCAGAAATTCCTTTGTGGACTGTGCTTTCACCTGTAAGTCTTCTATAGTAACATCATATTCCTGTAATATTTCCCTCTCAATTTTCATTTGACTTTTAAGTCATAACAATACACAGATCATCAAGCCTAGCAACTGTATATTTTTTACTGCCCTAAGGCCATGTCACCAATACCAATGAAAGCAGACTTGGGGTCCCTGCTGGAAGGTCATGAGACCCCATCACTCAGTCAAATCCTCTGCATTTCCTTGCCTGGTTATAATCAAAACAGGTTCTGAGAAGATTATAGAGGCCTCTTTTTTATAATCTTAATATTTTAAAAGTTTATTTTGGCTAGGATAAATTGAATTTGTCCCAGTTCTTTGAACAGACTGCCAATTTCTTAGTGATCCACCAAAATTTTATTAACTATTCCATCTACCTTCTCCTTTTTAAAGATGTTACTTTTAATCAACCACCTGAACATCTTTATCTGATTTAGTTATTCTGAGAATTCTTCCATCTTTTATTTAGAGTTATCTTTCTTCTGAATAATCCTTATCTTCCCCCCAGTATAAAAACCCACTCAAGAGAGCTGAACAGGGGCGCCTGGGTGGCTCAGATGGTTGAGCGTCTGTCTTCAGCTCAGGTCATGATCTCAGAGTCCTGGGATCGAGTCCCGCATCAGGCTCCCTGCTCCGCGGGAAGTCTGCTTCTCCCTCTGCCTCTCTTTCTCTCTCTCTCATGAATAAATAAATAAAATCTTTAAAAAAAAAAAAAAAGAGAGAGCTGAACAGAACAGAGATGCATAACATCATGCCTCACATCATACTGTCTCCCCTTTTACCATGTCCATCAGCTGGCTCAGAGGGATGGCGATAGAAGTTATGGTTTCATACTGAATCACAGGCTATAATCTACACGTTTAAGAGCCTCTAGCTGCTTCTCTGATGCCTTTATTTTTGCTGGCGGGGGGGCAGCCAAGGAACCACATTCTTGGCTGACGTCCCCTCAGTTTGCATTTGATTTGCAATCCATTTAGCAAGGACCTACAGACCCCAGTTCTCACTTATGTTTTTCCTCCTGTTTCTGAGTGCAGCACTTGAGCATACGCAACCCAGGGATGGCCTGGAAACCAACCCATTACCAAAAATCCTTCCTCAGCAGCCTCTGTCATCTTTTTCCTGTGCACTAAGTCATTTTTTTTTTAAGTAGGCTCCACACTCAATGTGGGGCTTGAATTCATGATCCTGAGCTCAAGAATCACATGCTCTACCAACTGAGCCAGCCATGCGCTCCCCTCTTAGTCATTATTATTTGAATTAAAATCAGGAGTCATATTAAATATCCCATCCTTATCACCAACTGCAACCATTTCACGAATATTGTAATTCAAAATACTTGCAAGACTCCACAGAACATACTCATGTGAGGTTTTCTTAAAAGCAAAGGATATAACATAGCAAGAGAAAGAATGCAGGGCCATATTGGGAGTCAAACATCCATGCAGTTTCCCAGATTCTTATTCATACACTCCTGTGATTCACTCCCAGATTAAGCCACAAATATGTGACTGATGAACCCTGGCTTCCAGAGAGTCAGAAGATTCCAGGAGGAATTTTTATGCCTTTCTGGTAACATACTCAAGCCAGACTATCTAACCATTATGCCAGTTGGAAACCATCAGCAACCAAACTGGGACTAGGTGTGGTCAGGAAATTTTTGGATATTAAACAACACATAATAAATCCCACGGCCCTTATCTTAGCAGAGTGTCAAAGACAGATACTCAGAAGTTCCTAGAAATAAAGTTAGAACTTTTTCAGTCCAATTTTAAACTAATTCTATCTCAAGATGAAACAAATGCACAATATATCAAAATCTGGGGAATGCTGCTAACATAGTCATTACAGGGAAACTTACAAAATTACTGAATTAGAGGGGAGTTTTCAAATAAATAACATAGTCCACCTTAAGAAAGTAGGAAAAAGACAAATTAAATCCTATAGGCAACCCTATTTACTCCATCATCACACTCCTCGTGCCTTGGGAGTAGTCCTGCTTCAGTGGCAGCATAAATTGGCAACTCAGGAAAGCTGTTTCTATATGAGTCACCAAGAACACAAATAAGTCAGGACGCCTGGGTGACTCAGTAAGTTGAGCATCTGCCTTCAGCTCAGGTCAGGATCCCAGGGTCCTAGGATCGAGTCCCTCATTGGGCTCCCTGCTCAGCAGGGAACCTGCTTCTCCCTCTGCCTACCACTCCCCCTGCTTGTGCTTTCTCTCCCTCTCTGACAAATAAATAAATAAAATCTTAAAAAAAAAAAAAAAAAGAATATTGGATAAGTCACAAAAACCACATCCCTGGAATCCCAGATCTCCCTTCTCTCAATCCATTTTCCTGCCAGCGCAGCAACAGTTCTGACCTGAGGCATCTAGGGTCTAAGGGAATCCACAAATATTTAGGTTATTTGTCCTGTAAGTTATCTTGGCCACAGGAGACAGCTCTGGAAGTCCTGAAAATTTCTGTACTCTTCTCATCCTACTCAGCCATAATATGGGAATACTATGAGCAGGTACCTTTCGTGGGGCATCTGTGTAGTGTCCTGCAATCTCTCTAACTCCGTATTAATCACACTTTGTGTCTGTGTCCATTATAGTTCCCACCTGGCCCCTGTAGTATTCCAGCCAGTGACATCTACCTACTGAATTCTGAACTCAGGCTCCTTGCCAGGTACCAGAGGCCAGTCATCTCTTAACAGTGCTTGGGGATATGAAACATTCCATGGGGACAAGGGACTAAACTCATTCTGCTTCCAGATGCACTGGAGGTTGTCACAACCACCTCCCCACATAGTTACTTTTGGACCCAAAAATTAAACTAGCACCCAGGCTGCCATGACAGGTCTCACAAAGTTCCTAAGTCTTTCCTATAAGACCTTGGGTAGCAACGCAAATTAGGCCAAACCTGGAGTGAGAGCTTTTCTCTGACATCATCGTGTCCCCTCTGAGACATGGAAAACTGGGGACTCCCACAAACTTTATCCTTTCATGTGGGTAGAACACAACTGTGTCCTCAACACACAATAAGCAGAACCTTCCAGATTAAAAGTAGCTCAAAGAGGGGCACCTGCGTGGCTCATTCAGTTAAGCGTCTGCCTTCAACTCGGGTCATGATTTCCAGGACCCTGAGATGGAGCAGGGAGCCTGCTTCTCCCTCTCCCTCTGCGCAGCCCCCCACCCCCGCTGGGGCTCTCTCTCTCTAATAAATAAATAAAATCTTAAAAAAAAAAAAAAGTAGCTCAAAGAATAAGCCCTTTATTACTGTACAAACATGAGTGAAGTGAGGCATGTGCTTCCAGGGCTGGAGGCCGTGAGACCATACACATCCACAGTGAGCATCACACAAGATGAAAAAGTCCATGAAGATAAACCTTTGCAAGCTACCTGGAAAACCCACCTTGTGTGCTGATTTTTCCCATGCTTAACCCAGACAAAAGGGAGAAAATGAGGCCCCCCATGGGCCACGGAGGCCAATCATGACTCCTTCTAGGGACTGTGGAGACAGCACAGGTCTACCTGCCTAAGCGTGCTGGAGTGACTGACACACACTGTGGAACTGACAGATGGTCATAGGGGGACGGTTTCTGCCACTGGCAAAGGGAGGTGGCAATTTACAACGTGCAACACGGCTCCTGAGAGCACTTGACATACCAGGCACTCACAAGGAACCTCCCCAAGGCAGAGGTTCCTATGTGTGAGGTACCACTTCTGAATGATGGCTCCCTCACAAAGCCTCCTCTCAGAGCTTCACTCTGGGGAGAGCTGTTAGGCTGAACAAGGAGATGGCACATTCCCTGTACCACTGTCCAGTGTGGATTTTCCAGTGCTGAATAAAGTTTGCTCCTTGGGTAAAGACTGTCCTATGTCTGCTGCACTCATAATCACTGCTAGGAATTCTCAAATGGACAGTAAGTTGGGGGCCTTGGCTAAAGGACTCCCCACATCTGCTATGGTATTAAGGCTCTTCTCCATTATGAAGCTTCTGATGGAGAACAAGTGTGTGTTTGCGGTTAAACTCTTTCCCACATTTGCTACACACGTAAGGCCGTTCTCCGGTATGAACTTTCCAGTGCCGAATAAGATTGGGCCTTTGGGTAAAGGCTTTCCCACATCTGCTGCACTCATAAGGATTTTCTCCAGAGTGAACTTTCTGGTGCTGAATGAGTTTAGAGATGCAGCTAAAGGCTTTCCCACATCGGCTGCACTCGTAATCACTGCCATGAATTCTCCAGTGCACATTAAGGTGGGAACTCTGGCTAAAGGCCTTCCCACACTCGCTGCACTCATAAGGCCTTTCTCCAGTGTGAGTCCTCTGGTGCAGAACAAGTGTGTGTTTGCGGCTGAACTCCTTCCCACATGTGCTACATACATAAGGCCTTGCTCCTGTGTGAACTTCCTGGTGTCTAATGAGGTTAGACTTACTGCTAAAGAATTTCCCACAATTACTGCACTGATAGAGTCTTTCACCCGTGTGAACTCGCTTGTGTTCAATCAGGCCAGAGATCTGTCTAAAGAATTTCCCACATTCACTGCACTCGTAAGGCCTTTCCCCAGTGTGTATGGTCTCATGTTTAAAAAGGTCACAGCTTTGACTAAAGAATTTCCCACATTTGCTGCACTCATAAGGCCTTTCTCCAGTGTGGATTCTCCGGTGCCGAGTAAGCGTGTCTTTGCGGGTGAACAGTTTCCCACATTCGATGCACTTGTGATGTCGCTGTCCAGGGTGAAGGGCTCCCCCAAGCCTGGTGTTCTTGTGGGGCTTCATCCTCATGTGGGGGACCTGGTGCTGAAGAAGGTCAGAGGTGGCTGTAAAGTCCCTTCTACGCGCCCTGTGTGTATAGGTCTTCGCTGGCACATAGAATCTGCAGGTTTTTACCGAGTCCCTGCCCTCATCTCTTCTGAAGGATTTCTCTGCAGTGTGGTGCTGATGGACGTTTGCACCGTGCCAGAAGGGCTTCCAGCAGGCCCCGCCCGTGTGTGGTTCCAGCCTGGCTTCTCCCCCCTGGTATTCAGCCAGGTGTAAGATTTCTTTCAATACCGAGCCAGGTATGTCACATGGCTGGGGGTTCAGACCTGCCACCGGAGTCCTGACTTGTGACACTCCTTCTGAAGAAACACTCTGCTCAGGGGACGGAGCCTCATCCTCCACTGCACACCAACCACCTGAAAGCAGAGGAGTACTGCTGACATGCATGTTAGACTCGCGGGTAGGGGCAACCCCATCGCTAATGTGTGTACGACACACCCGGGAATACCTCAGTGGGACTGTTTACAGGACAAGAGAGGTAGGGACAGGTTGAGGAAGGGGCTGCAATGCAGACCAGTTCTCTGAAGGTCACTGAATGAAGGGAGCCTTCTGAGGACAAGGCTATGTGGACAGAGAGCAGAGAAGCGCAAGTGGCTTCCAGGAGGTATCCGGCTGTCGAGGCGGGAGTGCTGGGCAGAAGGGCACGTGCAGGCCCAGGAGGACCCGCTTACAAGTGTGCAGCTGGGGCTCAAGGGTACTTAAGGACACGAGCGCATCTCGAGACATGTCAAGTGTACGCAATGCCGCAGGACAATGCAGACCCAGCAGGGGGCAGCCTGGGTGCTGGGCAGACGGAAGACGGCAGGGGGCTAGAAGGCATACAGGAGATAAGCTGCAGTGTCAAGAATGGGGAAGGACGGGTACCAAGGATGGCCACCAGCCTCGAGGCTGAACACTAGGGTGAAGAGTTAGTACTACTAGTCTTTTGGGGTTTTTTGTTTGTTTGTTTGTTTTATTTATTTATTTGAGAGAGAGAATGAGAGACAGCACAAGAGGGAAGAGGGTCCGAGGGAGAAGCAGGCCCCCCACTGAGCAGGGAGCCCGATGCGGGACTCGATCCCGGGACTCCAGGATCATGACCTGAGCCGAAGGCAGTCGCCCAACCGACTGAGCCACCCAGGCGCCCAGTACTACTAGTTTTGAACCTAACCCTGATATCGTGCCCTTCCCTCATATCCACTCACCAAGTCCAGGCCCCCTCCGAGCCTCTCTTTCTGTGACTGGGGTCATAGCCACCTGGTCAGGCATCTGGGGATCTTCCTTTTGCTCCAGTTGGGTGACTGCGTGTGATCTGGAGGATACAATTCCTAAGAGAGACACAGGACAGGTGAGCAGCCACTACTGGCCAGAGCAAGACATCCTATGACACTCCGTAAGTTTAAAAAAAAAAATTATTACCAAAAAACCCCCAAAAAAGCCTCGTGGGGGGTGGGTGCCTGGATGGCTCAGTTAGTTGAGCGTCTGACTCTTGGTTTCAGCTCAGGTCATGATCTCAGGGTCAGGGGATCGAGCCCCGCGTTGGGCTCTGCACTCAGCACGGAATCTGCTTGGGATTCTCTCCCTTTCCTGCCCCTCCCCCCACTCATGCTCCTCTCTCTCTCTAAAATGAATAAATAAAATCTTTTCAAAATTAAAAAAAAAACCTTGAAGGAAGGTTTTCGAGGAACTGCACAAAGGTCCCCATAAGTAGTGACTATGTGAGTGCCTGTAACTCCTGGTACAATTTAGCCCCAGAGAGTGTCCCCTAGAGAAAGGGAGCTGATCTTTAGGCACAGAGGTGCCATAATTCTGGATAGATTCACCAGTCCCCAAAATGACCAAGACTATGGGATCCACTGGGCAAACGACACCTTGTGACTCCCAAGCCCTTCGCTGCATGGCTTCAGGACTGGCTCACCAAGAGATGAGAAAGCTCCATACAGCACAAACCCAGCCCTCACAGCACCTACTCCAGAAAACCTGGAAAGAAAGCAGTACCTATGATCTGACCATGGGAAGGACAGAGCAGTCCCTGGAGAAAAAGAGAAAGCAGATGGGATTGGCATGCAGACCTTACCCAGTGAAGCTAAAAGTGCAAAGTTTTCCAGCATCACATCCTGATACAAAAGTCTCTGAGAATCATCAAGGAGCATCCATTCTTCCCGGGAGAAGAACACAAACACATCCTCAGAGATCACACAGACCTGCAATGACATGGCCAACAAGGTCCAGGAAGTCTCTTGACTGAGTATCCTCACTCCATCTACCCATAACAATGTCGTGCTCACCCACTTCCCCACTTGCCAGCCAATCCCCCCGGGGTACCCTAAACCATGCCTCCTAGACATAAGCCTGGGCTCCCTGTTCTCACAGAAGCCCCCGGTAACGGGGCTGCAGGACCATCATCAGTTCCCACTGACTCCTCTCGTGCACATCACTTCTCAGACCACCCCCTCCCTCACAGCTTCAGCTACCCATCACAACTCTTCTCACCCACACCACAGACAGCACACCAGACTCCTCACAGGTCGCTCTGCACACAGCGTGGAGAGAGTGCTTGGCAATACCACCAGGATCCCGTCCTGCCCCAAACCTCCAGTGACCCCAAGTGTCAAAGGGAAGCCCCCATTCCTGCTTGAAGGCCTCCCAATCTGGACCTTTTCCTCAACCTCAGGCACCCAGGACGACAGGCATATATCGGGAACCCTCAGCCTTCTTCCGGTTCTCCGCTGCACACTGTATTAGTTTCCTATAGCTGCTCTAACAAATCATTACCAGCTCTGCGGCTTAAGTCAACACAAATTTTTCTTCTTAGTTTAAAGATTATAAATCCAAAATGGGCTTCACCAGTATAAAAACAAGAAGTTATCAGGATTGTGTTCCTTCTGGCAGTTCTACAAAAGAATCTGTTTCCTTCCCTTTCCCAATTTCTGAAGACCTCCTGCATTCCTTGACTCCCTGCCCCTTCCTCCGTCTTCGAAGCCAGGAATTATCACTCTGACCTCTCTTTACTCCCTGAAATCTTCTTTGACTCCATCCTCCTTCGACTACACTGGGCCCACTGGATAATCTCTCCATGTTGTTAATATACTCAATTTAATCACACACATAAAGTCCCTTTTGCCACATGAGGTAACATATCCAGAGGTTCAAGGGATTAGAACATGCATGGCTTTGGGAAGCCACTATTTCATCTATTAGACACATGCTGTGCCCTCACAGTCCGACCTTCTTATCCCCACCTAATCCTCTGAACATCCGATGTTCCTGGTTCAGCTGATGGCCGCAGCATGTTCACACCTTTGAGTCATCTCTGCCTCCCCACCTTCCCTCTGGCAATGCACCTCAGCAAACAAAACAGGCCTGAGTAAAGTAACGAAAACACAACCTGTTCTGCCCCCTTTACAGCAATCACTCTGACATAGCTCATCAATACTCACTGGGACTATAGTCATAGTCTCCTCCTTGGTTCTCCTGTGGTGTGACCACATATAAACATAAAATTCTTCCAGTTATAGGGGCGCCTGGGTGGCTCAGTTGGTTAAGCGACTGCCTTCAGCTCAGGTCATGATCCTGGAGTCCCGGGATTGAGTCCCGCCTCGGGCTCCCTGCTCGGCAGGGAGTCTGCTTCTCCCTCTGACCCTCCCCCCTCTCATGTGCTCTCTCTCATTCTCTCTCTCAAATAAATAAAATCTTTAAAATAAATAAATAAAAAATAAATAAATGAATGAATACAAACATACATACATACATTAAGTTTTCTGACCCACCACCTCTGCAACAACCAGCAGAAGCCAAACCACAGCCACTGCAGCGACTGGACCGGGAGGGTGAAGACTCCGTAAAAACTGCCATCTTTCCTAACTTTTTGCACCTGCTTCCAATTTGGGGCCAATCAGCTTTCCCACTCCCTTGCCTGCCTTTAAGCCTCAGCCAAATGCCAAGTGATGGTACCAGCAAGCTCTGAATAGCCTTTGCTTGTTCTCATTTGGGTGGCTTATTTTATTTCCACACACCCGCCTCCACCAGCACCCCAGCCCTTCACAGTCTTCTCCACTCTGCAGTGAGGGAGCCTGCTGAGACCGCTTCAAATACCCTATGGCTCCCGCCACCCTCAGGACAGAGGTTGAACTTACCACTTTAGGCTAGAATTCTCACCCTCTGCTGCCTCCACCAGAAAGGAATGAGACCTGTGGTGTGTCGAACACAGCTCAGCCTCACCTCCAAGCATCTCTACCTGCCTAGGATGGGTTTCTCTCTCTGGGTCCTACTGGGGAACCTCTCCACAGAACTGCTTGCTTGGATTGAGTCCATGTCCTCAGGGCGCAGAGACACAATTTCGGGGACAGAATAAAGGAACAAATATTCCATTGGGGGGAAGGTGAGCACACAGCCATAAGCTTAGCAGTCCTCACTGAAGCCTGTAGATAAAACAGGAGTAGCAGCACAACGGCTGGAGATGGAGATGCTAGTGCTCCCCTCGGTCACTCTACACCCCTAGAAACCAACATACCACATAGAGCTATATTAATCTTACGGCACAGGGACAAGAAAAGCAGTAGCCAAAACAGCTACCACAATGGCTGCCATTTGGGGCCTGGACCTTGTCATGGTGTCCCAGGTCTGTGAAGACCTCCACTCGTGGAGCAAGTGGACTGTGGGCTCTGTCTTCCTCATCTCTTTCATGCTCTCCTCTGGGGTGGGGGTGGGACTCCTGGGTTTTGTGATCCTCCTCTGGAACCAGGTCACACTCACTGGCTTCACCCTGATGTTTTGGTGCAAGGTCACCACCTCCTTCCTCGTCTTTCTGAATGCCATCAGCGGCCTTCACATCAACAGCATCACCCATCCCTAGAGCCAACCAAGGAAATTTCAGGACCCCCTCCTAAATCTGAGGACAGCAGGTTCAACAAGAAAGTGTGGTCAAGATGGGACTTCTCAGCATGTGACCGCTGGTGGGGGTAGGGGTGGGACAATGCCCTCGACACCGCGGCCTCTTAACCAATAACCTTGGTGTGGTTGGCCACAATCAGCCCAGCGGCCTTTGCTGCCGACGCGAAGGGCCAGGGGCCGGAAGGGTGCCGCTGTTCCACCAGCCGCACAGGCTTCACCACGTTAGTAAGATGTTGATTTTAGAAGAAGTAACACATTTTAAAACCCTTTCCTTGAATCCTTCTTCCCAGGATGGGAATAAATTTGGAAGCAGCTTGAGTAACTGGTGCCCAGGCTGGCTGCACAGCTAAGTGCAGTTCACACCTGCTGCACTGACTATGTGTTGGCACCAAGGCCACAGAGTCCCTGGAGTCTCCTGGGGTTGCCCAAAGTGGATCATTCTTGCAGCTAAGCATAAGCGGTCAGTGCCCGTGACTCCTCCACAGCTCAAAGGGCCTCTGTGCACATTTCCCTGCCACAGCTTTGGTCATGTTAGGGAGACAGAATTTAGGATTCCCTCGAGTTCTTGCACACGGGTTTTCATACCATTTGACTTAACTTGAACCCTGCCCTTTGCGGGGGGGGGCTCCATAATCTCTGAATAACCGTAGTTTCCAGCAGCCGGCTATCCCCTCTGCCTGTGGGAATCCTGCCTTAACTCTCTGAGCAAGTCTCCCAGGATGGCCCACCTGCCTTCCAATACACAGTCCTCTCTGAAAACAAACAAACAAAACAAAATAATACAGCCACCACAAAGGAGAGACTCTGGAAGACCTGCTGTGACTGAAGCACCGGCAGGAAGACGCCCTCTCCTGGGCCATCGTTGGCCGGGAGCTGCCACCTCATGCTGCAGAGCCTTCTGGGTATTGTAGTCACCACCATTCCACAGGACTCAGAAAGGCAGCCAGGGTGGTCAGAAGGTGGAAGGCAAAGGAATCAATTATTGAAAGCCTAAGGTATGCTGAGCTTGCCAGTTGCTCCCAAGCCACATTTTGCGCTTCATGACTCCTCTTCAAGTCTCCAGCAGGTGGCCCATGTCCTAAGCACGAATGAACTGTCCCTGGGTATTTTGGAGGTTCAGGATTTGTATATCTCACCCTTCCTAATTGTTTTAAAGATTTATTTACTTATTCGAGAGAGTGAAGAAAGAGAAAGAGAGAGAGCATGAGCAGGTGGAGGGGCAGAGGGAGAGAGAGAATCCACAAGCAGACTCCCGGCTGAGCGGGCAGCCAAACCTAGGGCTCAATCCCAGGACCCTGAGATCACGACCTAAGCCAAAACCAAGAATCAGATGCTTAACCCACTGAGCCACCCAGGTGCACCTCACCCCTCCTAATTTGGGACATGAGGAGAACAGTTTCACCTCCCTGATATAAAATGAAAAATGAAGACAAAA